CCCTCCCCCCATCCATCCATTCCTCCCCTACCCTCCCCATACCCCCACTCCCCCTGCCTGCTTTCCTCCATTCTCGTTCCCTTCACCTGCAATAATGAAGTGTAACCCTCTCCCCAGACATGGTATGGTAAAACCCCGTTGGGCAAAAAACGTACCAAGGCTGCTGCAGCTGATGAGGATGATGGTGGAGGAGGGAAAGACAAGAAAGGAAAGAAAGGAAAGAAAGGAAAAAAGGGAAAGAAAGGAAAGAAGAAGAAGAAGTAATCAGTACCAGCTCAGATTGGCTAAGAGTGCAAGCAAAGCGTTTGATCACTTTGATATTTATTTCCTCAAACATGTGTGCCTTTATGAAATGCGGATAATACGTTATATATATGTAGCTGTAATTCTTATTTATCTGAGGTGTTTTGAAATGTTTTGTCTGTATTTCAGTGTACAATCCATTCTTGAAATATTTTTTTAAAGAATTAATTGCATTGCTGGGATGACTATGATCAATGTGAATGGATTGATGTATAGCTTAGAAAAAATTTGTGCTTTCCTTTAATAAATATTTTGTACGCTCATGCTTAAAGAGACACTGAATTAAATGGAGTAGAATTTAAAAAACAAAACAAAACATGTATTCATGTAGCAGAGGCAACACAACAACTGTGGTTGTTGTTGTTGTTAATTTTGTTATGTTGTTGTCGTTACTGTAGTTGTTATTGCTGATGTTACATTGTAGCTCCAGGGGCTTGTGGGTTGACCTTCTCCTTGTTAAAAGTGGGGTGACAAGATCATTAAAATGAATAAAACTTTGAACTGTGCAGTAACTGTGATATTATTGTTTTACTTTCAACTGTCAACTGACCTAAGAGAACATTTTTACTTATTATATTGTCTTTCCTTGCCCTTTGTAGCTGCTCTCATTCTGCCGTGAAAAAAGAATTCAGATAGACCGGGGCGCTAATTTTGTTGAGAAAGTGATCAAAAGAATCTAAAGCAGCTGACATTGCTAGATTGGCAGTTTTCTTTATAATTTATAAGTTTGTTTGTCTGTCTGTCTGCTTTTTCTCTTTGTTTTTTGTTTTTTAAACTGTAAATTCACTTTTTAAAAGTTTGTACCAAAAAAACCTTACACATTGAGACGAAATGTGAATTGTCAAACAAAACCTATAATGAGTATGACATTCTAAGATATACTATACTCGTACATACACATTTTTTTTACAGATTCTATGATACTTTTATGATTTACTATTCAAGAGTTTTGATATCAAATAAATCCATCTTTTGAGTGAAAAAGACAGTCATTGGTTTCCATCTTGAATTTTGAAAATAAAATAAATCCATGAACAGATTGCTCTAAACACTCTTTTTTTGTTAGTCCGAACTGGACTATTTTTTTCTGTCTTTCAGGAGAGAGAAAAGAAGATTGAGGGAGGGGGGTATTGAAACAGTATTTCTTGTTTTGTATAGTAGCAACAACAGTTGTTATTCTTGGTTTTGGGAATAATTGTAATAATATTTTAATTATTTCATTCATATTAGGTATTGTGACAGTTTTGCGTTGCTGACTTATTTTGGTTCTGTGTGAAGAGATCAACTCTCCTTTTGTTTTGAAGGAAAAGAACAAGACGTAGTTTTTAGTTGCCACGCAAGTTTCTCCTCTTTTGTGCCTCCCTCCCCTCGTTTCTTTCTCTTTTGCTCGTCTTTCTTTCTTTGCTACATCCCTCTAATCCCCTCTTTCTTTCTCCCCCCCCCCCCCGCACCCCAACCAGGGCAGTGCTACAGACTGAAGTCGTCTTTAGGCCAATCCCAAAGGGGGGGTTATTAACATGATCTTATGCACTCTAGAATTTTTAATGGGCTGATTTATCAATGTCATGCTCATACTGTGCCGGAACAACATAGGGGGAAATGATGCCTTTTCTTTCAAGTCCTTATAACTATCGTCATTTTACTCTACTTCTTTTGTATGTTTGTCACTCTCTTGTGAAATGCTATTTACGGTGTGCCTTGATAGTCGAAGCAGGCTTTGTGCTGTTGAGGCTAGAGAGGTGAGCAGAGTAAGCCCGATTCCCCGTTTGGACTTCTCTATTGACATCCTCTCTTTGGCGCTCATATGACCGTATGCAGTTGCGAGCGCCGTAAGTAAAACCCTACTAAAACGAAGTCTCTCTCTTTCTCTCTCTCTCTCTCTGTCTGTCTCTCTTTGTCTCTCTCTCTCTGTCTTTCTCTCTTTCCCTATCTATCTTTCTGTCTGTCTGCCTGCCTGTCTGTTTGTCTCTCCCCCCCCCCCTCTCTCTCTCTCTGTGCACCAACATGCATATCCGTCGAAGCATAATAGATGTATGGGCCGAAGGCCTATGAAATCAATTTAAATCTCTCTCCCCCTCCCCCCCCCTCTCTCTCTCTCTCTCTCTCTCTCTCTCTCTCTCTCTCTCTCTCTTTCTCCTTTCTCCCCATCCTCTCTTTCTCTGTCTCGATTTAAGATTAACCTGCCTGTCAATAAACCTTTATCAATTTGGCTTTCTACATAAGCAGCAGTGGGGATCACAAGAAGCGTAAAACCCGATTCAAGCTCAAAACTACTTTTTAACAAAGTTGGTAAGAGAATATTGAACTCTTTGCACCTTGTCTTCCCGCTTGATTACCACTATCATCCAGCTATCGGAGAAGAACATCAATTCGTAGGTCTCGCCTCATAAGTAAACACCTGCCAACATTTCGCTCCTCTCCAAGGGCGTGAAAACAAGACCAGAAACCAAGTTCAAACCACGAAAGCCAAACAGGAACAGGCCTAATCTGTGACTTCCGGCCAACGCCCCTTCCGCCGGGTGGCGTTGATGGCAAACAGCATGCATCAGACGACGTGACTTGGTCCCGCAGAGAAGAGAGAGAGATATATATACTCCGAACGGATTTCCAGGCCCATTCCAGGGTGATAACCAAAACGGTTGGCGAAAATCCTCTCTACAGGATACTCGTAAATGTGTTGAACTTTGTCGATGCCTTACGCCTCGAAAGTAATGATAAGTCTACACCGAAAAATGGAAGGAAAGAGCTAAAAATATCAACGGTGATGGTTTTATTTTCATAGTCATTGAAGGGAAGAGGATGTGGGTGGTTGACGGGTGGTGTGTGAGTGGTTTGCTTCTTTCCTATCAAACATCTGTCGTCCTCATCGCTCCTCCTTCTTTTTGTGTTTGTTACTCTCTTGTGCCATCTCTAATCTTCGGCACTTGCATGACATTCTAGTGTTGCAAATGCCGGAAGACTCTTACTAAAAGAAACCTCCTGTACTGTCTCTAATCTTCGGTACTTGTATCATCTTATTGTGTTGAAAGTGCCGTGGAACTCTTACAAAAAGAAACAGAAGGGGAGGATGTAACATCACAAGTAATAGAATTTCTCAAAACAGCTCGACTTCATTAGCAGACACAGTAACTGCCGCATCTGGCAATCTGATTTATGTTACTGGTTAGGCCTATAATTAGTAAGTGGCTGCTTGCTACTTTGTGTCATATCCCGACAGTTAATAAGACAAAGCAGTCGAACCTGCGCTAATGACCACCTGTCCAAAACAACCACCGCACAAACGACAATTACCCCCCCCCCCCTCCCCTTGCGTTTTTTTAGATACTATAATGACTTTGTCCAAGACAACCACTTTTCTCTTTGACGATGAGGGGTCGTCTTGGACAGTTAAGACTGTTTTTCAATTTCAAAGGCTTACACATATGGCAGTCTAACGCGCATGTGTCAAATTATAGGCAAGATCCACATTAAAGCAATCGACCTTTTCAGTGAATAGGCTGCTTAATTAGGAAAAAAAAAAGGGGGGGGTTACACCTTGAAAGTTCCGATTCGGATCAAAATTATGGATTTTGAGATGCAGGCATTTTGGCTTCTTCAACCTGTCTTACAACTATTTCATCGCATAAGAACCCCTTAAAGCCTTATTTTGTCACATACCAGGCTTGTTAATCACCTCGTAATCGACCTTTTCAGTGTGTAGACTACTTAATTAATGGTAAACCAAGAAAATGATGTTGCTGCGGGGAATTTTCCAAACTATTCTGGCAATCGTGATGGCGTAATAATAGTTGTGAAGTGCGTAGAGCATGCTGTAGAGCATGAACATGCGCTATACAAAAGCAATTATTCTTTTCTTTATTCTTATTCTTATTCTTATTCCTGCTGCTGTTGTTGCTGTTGTTGTTGTTGTTGTTGTTGTTGTTGTTGTTGTTGTTGTTGTTGTTGTTGTTATTATTATTATTATTATTATTATTATTATTATTATTATTACGACATGTTAAAGAAGAGCTCCAACATCTAAATAGCTCATCCCCAGACAACATGTGGAATAGCATGAGATCAACAATGTATAATTCCACGTCGATTACTTTTAGAATAGAAAGACCGTGCAGGGAGGACTGGGTTGAAGCAAGTGCATCAACACTGGCACCACTACTCGAGAAAAAGCGAAAGATTCTGATAGAACACAACACAAATTCAACGGAGAGTAAAAAGCAACAACTACGTGCTGCTAAATCCAACCTTCAAAGAGAAACCAGAAAGTGTGCCAATCAGTACTGGGACAAGTTATGCTCAGAAATCCAACAGGCCAGCGATACAGGTAATATTAGGAAATGTACGAAAACATAGGAGTTGCTATTGGACCAACTGCCAACAAAGTGACACCTCTAAAATATGCGACGGGTGAACAGCTGACAGACAAGAAGAAACAAATGGAAAGATGGGTGGAACATTATTCAGACTTATACTCAGAGGAGCGACATGTTGATAGACAGCTGCATGAGGCCATTCCTCAGCTCTCCGAAAAGTCAGAACTTGATACAACACCAACAGAAGAAAAACTCTCCTCTCGATGAACTCGCTTGCAGAAAAGCAGCAGGAAATGACAACATACCTGCTGAAGTGCTGAAAGAGAACAAAGAGACCCTCCTCCCATACCTCTCTCTACACCCTACTAACGACTTGTTGGCTGAAAGCAGAAATTCCACATGACATGAAAGATGCCAAAATCACCACACTCTACAAAAACAAAGGGGACAAAGGAGATTGCAACAACTATAGAGGCATCTCGCTGCTAAGCATCACTGGGAAAGCTTTCGCTAGGATCATCCTGAAGCGACTTCAGAAACTAGCAGAAAGAGTCCTACCAGAGAGCCAATGCGGTTTCAGATCAAACCGCTAAACAATGGACATGATCTTTTCTATATTCGTCAGCTACAAGAAAAATGCAGGGAGCTACAACTGCCTTTACATACTGCGTTCGTCGATCTGACAAAGGCTTTTGATACAGTCAGTAGATCAGGACTGTACATGGTGTTGGGAAAAATTGGATGTCCTCCAATACTGCTACAGCTCATCATCTCATTCCCCGAAGATATGAAGGCCACCATTCAGTTTGACGGTTCAACGTCAAACAGTTTCAACATCAATAGCGGAGTAAAGCAAGGTTGTGTCTTAGCACCAACCCTATTTAGCACTTATTTTGCTGTCTCACTACAACACGCATTCAAAGAGTCACCAGGGGATGTCTTCCTCCACTGGAGAACTGATGGGTCGCTCTTCAATCTTGCTCGACTCAAGACCAAGTCCAAGATCAACAAAACAACAGTACGAGAACTTCTCTTCGCCGATGATGTTGCTCTTGTTGCTCACAGTGAATCAACCCTACAAACAATGGTGGACCGCCTATCAACGGCATGCAAGGTCTTTAGCTTGGTCATCAGTGTTAAGAAAACAGTCATCCTTACCCAAGAAGGTGCAGAGCAGAGCCATATATGGCTGAACGACAAGGAACTTAAGACAGTGGACAAGTTCTGTTACCTGGGGTCTACCATCAGCTCTACTACGTCACTTGATTATGAGATCAACATCAGGATAGGGAAAGCAGCAACAACTTTTGGAAGGCTGACAAAACGAGCATGGGAAAACAAAAGTTTAACCATCAAAACAAAGATCAAGATTTACGAAGCATGTGTCCTCAGCACACTCTTTTATGGATCTGAAACATGGACCTTGTACAGCAGACAAGAAAAGCGCCTAGACATTTTCCATTTCAGATGCTGCCGCAAGAGTTTAGGCATTTCGTGGCGTGACAAGGTTACAAATGTTGAAGTGTTGGCACGGGCAAACCTCCAGAGCATGACAACTATCCTGTGTTTAAAAAGATTGAGATGGCTGGGCCATGTCAAGAGAATGGACGACAACCGGATTCCGAAGCAACTTCTCTATGGAGAACTTGCCCAGGAAAAGAGACAAAGAGAAAGACCAAAATTGAGGTACAAAGACACCTGCAAAAACAGCTTATCTAAGCTTGGAGTAGATGTTGACATCTGGAAAGAAATAGCTGAGGACAGGAAAACATGGAGGAAAAATGATAAAGGAAAGAACTAAAATGCTAGAGAGCAGCCTTAGAAACAACAAGGCTGAGAAGCGCCAACGACGAAAGGAAAACAGCGGAAATACAGAGCTTCGATTTACGACACTGCAGAATCTGCTCTTCAAACATAGGAAAAATTAACCATGAAAGAAGCTGCATGAAGACAACCTTGAGACCATCTTAAGCTAAATTGACCGTCTGCATAGACATAAAGAGCCATATATTTTTATTATTATTATTATTATTATTATTATTATTATTATTATTATTATTATTATTATTATTGTTGTTGTTGTTGTTATTATTATTATTATTATTATTATTATTATTATTATTATTATTATTATTATTATTATTATTATTATTATTATTATTATTATTATTATCATTATTATTAAGTAGTTGTGACGTCATGCAGAGACTGATACTTTGGTGGCAGCGGCTGAAATCTCCCCAGTCAGCATGTTCCCTGTAAATAGGGTTTTGGAGGCCAGTTGTCCCGCCACTTTACAGAAGGCAATCTACCGTCATCTGGTGGGGAGCAAAGAGGTATACAGCCTCCTAAGAACCGGAGTCCGGCTTAGCAACAGAGGTGTTTGAGACTGGCCCCCCAACAACCGAGCTTACAATGAGAGCGGGCGATTTTCTAATGTTCTAACGATAGGATTTCTCTCCCAGGCTGGGGAGGAATTTTGGACCTGGGTGTGCCTTTGTAAGAACGTTTGTGTGTGCGTGTGTGTGTGTGAGTGTGTGTGTGTGTGTGTGTGTGTGTGTGTGTGTGTGTGTGTGTGTGTGTGTGTGTGTGTGTGTGTGTGTGTGTGTGGGGGGGGGGGTGTTTGTGTGTGTGTGTGTGTGTGTGTGGGGGGTTGTATGTGTGTTTGAGAGTGGACGTATGCCACCCCTCTCCCTGTCTCTCTCTGTCTCTTTCTCTATCCCACTCTTTCCCCCACCTCTCTCCCCCACCCCCCCCTCTCTCTCTCTCTCTCTCTCTCTCTCTCTCTCTCTCTCTCTGTGTGTGTCTCTCTTGCCCATCCCCCTTCGTTCTCTCTCTCTTTCTTTCTCTCTTTCTCTCTTTCTTTCTTTCTCACTCTCTCGCTCATCCACTTCCCGATCTCTCTCTCTCTCTCACTCACTCACTCTCAGAGAGAGAGAGAGAGAGAGAGAGAGAGAGAGAGAGAGAGAGAGAGAGAGAGAGAGAGAGAGAGAGAGAGAGAGAGAGAGAGAGAGAGGAGGCGGAGGTGGGATTCTTCCTCTGCATGACTGGACGAGACGCATGTACATCAGTCTCAGACAAAAGAAAGGAAAAAGTACAATTCATTATTTATCAAATATATTTTTAAAAAATATTAAACTGCAGATCAGCGAGTGCTTACTGTTAGCATACTACCGTGCATAGGTTGTCTTAGTTCGGCCAGGATAAACTTAAGACCTTCGTCTTTGTTGAGGATATGCTGTCCTGGGAAAATCGTGCTTCAAGATCACACTCTCAATTTTTTGTCTAATTTGTGTCGATTGGGGCATGAAACATTGAACAAACAAACAAGCAAACAAACAAACAAACAACAAGAAAATGAACCCAACTGCACAGGTATGACACAAGCAGACAGACAGAAAATCTGAAAAAAGAAGCACAAATCGAGACAGAATTACGCTGATTAAGGTAAGCTCGGTACTTTATTTCTAATCTCCGTATCATTACCGCCCAATGACATTTACTCGCCATGCGTAACCCCTTCATTTCCGTGACTACACCCCTGTTAGTGTTAGCTGATAGGTGCCCCCTCCTCCCTTTACACATACATCCAGATACCACCAACATCACAACTACTGTGCCCTGATTCAAGACTTCATAGAAAAACAGAGAGCACACCCCACGTACCACATCACCCATCCCCCGATTCAAGACCCCATAGAGAAAAAGCGACCCTCCCCCACCCCCATTCCCGTACCACCACACCCCCCCTTTCTTTCCTGCTTCAAGACTCCATAGAGAAAAAGCGAGCTGCTGTCAAAAGCTTTTATCTGTAACACGCCTATGTTTAGATAGAACTTTTCAACTCTGGTCAGGTCCTCCATGTTTACCATGTCCCAGGCTCGGCCCGGGTACATAAGTAACGACCAGAGGGTGGAGAGCTACCCGTTGCTGCCTGCCCAAATCATTTCAGACCCTCCGAAATGAATGCCATGTTGTTCGTCGCTGCCCTCGTGCTGGGCTTGGCCTGTGCAGCCCCGAGCAGAGGTGAGTGCTGGCGTTCTCCAATGTTTAGTTATTTGTAGGTTTTTTTTTTAGCATGATGAGGTTAGCAGCTCTTGCAACACAATGAGGATATGTAGGTGCCGAAGATAACAAGTGTTGCTAGACAATAAAATACAAAGAAAGGAAAAATGAGGACAGTAGAATAATATCAATTTGATAGGAAAGAAGGACAAAACCACACCAGAGCGTCCGCCAACTACCTACTCTCAAGGTTTATACACCAGCATCAGCTGCTGTGGAGTAGATATCGAGTGCACACTGACGATCGAATTCACCTGAATGATTGAGCCGGGGCCAGTCATATTTTCCTTCATGGACGGGGCAAAAGCTGCCATTTTAGCACAATTTGACTGAAATCGATTGTGACCTTCAAATTATACACGGTTTTTTTTTGGTTTTTACTAACCTAAGTTGGTCTTGACAGATAGAATTGAAGCAGCCCACCGTTTGATTATCTTAAGGTGTGTCAATAGTCAATAGGGACGCAAAACCATTCACAACTGTGTCTTAGTTTGGGGGCATGAACCACTAACGCAGGGTTATTAAAATCGTTTTACGTGTGAAGTTTTATCACCCAACGTTACGTTTATTCATAAGTTGCCAACCTAATTTTTAAGTCTCAAAATGGTAACCATGTTTTCAAAATCAGTTTAGTTCCTAGACTGAAATCATTACCTAGTATTCCCCTTGATTAGGTTGCAACTCACTGTGTGACGCTGTTTGTTAAAAAAAATGGTGCCACAAAATATGTGATTAAAATAATCTTGCCGAAACCACAAAAAATCCCGTTAATTTTCTGACAACTCTAACACAGGCTAAAGCAGTTTTGAGAATAGCAACAACCTCTTTTCAGTTGTTTAAAATGTTATAGCATATCCGTGTTGAAAGTCTGACACAGCGAAGTTTTCCCTTCAACTACAGCAGTTTAGCCAGTTAGTACCATTCTGGATTGCGTTGTGGATGGCGTTGGTTCGAAATCTCAGCGGGGCGTTCTGACGTGAGTTAGCCTGGGAGTGTTTGAGGTTCTCCACCCAGTAAAGTTCTGTCTCATCAGAGATAAAGAAGAAAATTCCGAGGTTCCGCCTCTTGAACAGCTTTATATTGAAATGGGCGTTAAATCCAAACCGGATTATAATTTTTTTTCAAATGTGAGAGTTTTACGTCCCCATCGACGCAATTCAGATTATTTAGAGGGCAGGCTTCAACCCTGCATGTCAGAGCCAACTCCGGCTAGAAGAGGGATAAAACAACGTCCCAACAGGAAAGGCCGAGAAATGTCGATAGAAATTCTCATCACACGGAAATCCAACTTTTGTCTTTCGCTTGCAAAGGGGAAGCTCTTACCATTACACCTCAGAGGACGGTCAACCCAAACCATGCTGTACTCATCAGTAACAGTTCTTGCGGCGCAAGAGCCTGGCTACAGCAACAAAATCATATCCGCATTTCTTTATGTCAATACCAGTATAGGATCCACAGAAATCTACGAGGCGCCCCGTTTGTTCAGCTGGTATCCTGCTGGACTACGGAGCGGGTGGACTGGTGCAAATCCCAGACTGTCCGTTCTTGAACTCAAGTCTTTTTTTTGAGTTTTCAAAGTCCTCAATCACTTTGCCTCCGTCTTTTCGAGGACGGACGTTAAATTCGGGGATCTCGCCTCTTAGATAACTTGATAGTGTTGATAAGAACGTTACACCTACACTTTAAACAAGACATATTTGCCTTCTTATGCTTTATAATAATAGAGGGTGGAGAAGAGTGTGGTTCTGAGATTGCTAAAAAAAAAGCGTTTTGTCTATCTATACAAACAGTAGTGTAAAATAAATAATAATTTCAATAATGAATAGCGTTTATTTTGTGTAGCCCATATCCCCGCTCAACAGCAAGCTCTGTACGCTTTACAGTCTATATTAGATAACTCCAGCAGGCTCCACAACAGTCAGACGTATTCTCCGATTCCCCTAGAAGCATACAGACCAGGCAATCGATTAAATGCTCAGACACTAACATACTGACAAAATCTTTCAATATGTGAATTTACTCATTTTGTTTACTATAATAAGCAATTCTAAATTGATCTTTGTCTGTTATTTGTAACCCTAAACGTGATTATGACACGTGGTTGGTTGTGATGTCACCCCTGGCATCTGTGGTGTAGCGTTTTGGTACCTCGCCATCACACGAAGAAGACTTGAGTTCTATTCTCGTGTGGGGAGAATTAAAATAATTCTTGTCGAGTCACTCGGCCTCATTTCGACTAAAAATATACATCCCTCTCAACCTGGATTGGTCCTGACGGGAGAGGTCGAAACAAAATGATTAACATTCTGTCGATGGAGGCGTAAGATCTTTATCTTAAAAAAAAAAAAGCAGTGGCGTCACCATACATCTGACTTTATTCTTCTGTTTTTTGAAGTTCTTACTAGGGCATATACTCGACCCGCGTCTGTTTCTTTCCTTAGTATTCCTTCGCTTTCTCTCTCTCTCTCTCTCTCTCTCTCTCTCTCTCTCTCTCTCTCTCTCTCTCTCTCTCTCTCTCTCTCCCTCTCTCTCTCTCTCTCTCATTATATGTTCGGCTTTTGGGGTTAACCTCAAATACCTATCCATGTTGGCTTACTGCACATTAATTAACAACACAAATGTAACAGGGGGCTCTCGTGGCCTAGAGGTTAAGGTGTTGGCCTCTCATTCAAAGGTCCCGGGTTCGAATCCGTGTAGCGACCAAAAAATTTTCTTCTCTAAAATTGTCTCCTTTCACTTCCATTCCTGTTCTCTAGCATGTTTTGTTGTCTGCTTTCATTTCCACTTTCTGCCCCCCACCCCCTCAACTCCTTTGCCCCCTCCTCTGGGCTCTTGACTCTTTCTGCAGCCTTTCTAATGTTACTCCTTGGCTCCTCCTTACTGCTGTCTTTCTGCCACACCCCTGATCTTCGGGTAGGAAAAATCTACACCTAGCCTTCTCGGACAAGGGCGAAAAATCTCGGAGGGCCCGTTTCAAGTTGCGCACGTCAATGATCCCTTGGTGGTCTAAAATCCATAAGAGTAGGCTTCGGCCGCCACCCGGGCAAAATTCAAAATTTCCTACCAACTGAAAATATTAGGTGTGTCCCGCGCGCTCATATGACCTTATGCAGTTGCGAGCGCCGTAAAATACTTTACAAAAACCAAAAAACAAACAAATGTAACTCTTCAACTATTCATTTTCTTTTTTCTTTCAGAGAAAAGGCAGATCCAGAACTGTGTAGGTAAGTAAACTGCCATAGTGAACTTTACACTAAAACAAAAACGCTCCAGTACGAAGGGGTGTACATGATATGTGAGTTTGTAGTCTAGCATAATTCTTTATAAAATTATTCACTCACACACACACACATACACACACACACACACACACACACACACACACACACACACACACACACACACACACACACACACACACACACACACACACACACACACACATATATATATATATATATATATATATATATATATATATATATATATATATAATATAATATATATATATAAAATATAATGTGCATCCTCGTCTGTTGCAACTGAGCGTCGTGGGAAGATGCAGGTTTTTATGGGTAGACCGACTTTGCAGCTCAATCTATTGAGACGCTGTTGTTTCTCAGGGGTCCCTTTATTTTTTAAAAATGTATTTGATATGGTCATCAATTAATTATTTTTCCATAACCACCTTGTTATCTAAATTTGACCCTGACTACATGTTGTCGTTTCCTTAACGAGGCCCCGAAGAAGGGTGAAGCACAGCGACTTGTCAGTACAATGTGCTCTACGTTTCCATTTAGCTTACTGGGGTATAACGAAACCACAACGTTTACCTGTCGGACTCAGATTCTGAATGAATCCTGAACAGGGTATAGCCAACAAAATCTAAAAGTTTAAATACCTCAAAACTAGCACGAAGACTATTTTATCACGGCATCAACACGTAAGTGCACTAAATGAGTCATAACAAAGCTAGTATTTAGACAATGCCACACACATTCGTGTACGCAGGCCTGCTTGTTTTCCAACTGCTAGAAGTACATTTTTGATCAAGAACAAGTTATCAAATATCTATGTGGGTGGTTGGAGGGCACCGCTGGTTGATCCTTCTTCACTACTTCCATCTATTGCTTCTTTCTGTGTTTCTGACTTTTCCCATCCCTTAATGACAGTTAATGTGTCGATGCGATTCTCTTCGTTCAAACAAAACGTAAATCCATGCATTGCTAGGACGTCCATCTATGTTTGCACAGACAACATGAACATGTTCATTCAAGACAGATGCAATCGAAGTTATAGTACCTTTCCCCTTGTATAAGAATAAGAAACTGCACAAGCAGCCGTTATATCTCCTGAACCTCTGTAAGCCAATATAAAATTAATAAATACGGCGATTAATCCGTTTTGGAGAACACAAGCGAATACATGCGTCTACATAGCAGTTAAGAGGTTAACCCAAATTTTACTGGCAATAAAGCGTCTATTTGTATAATTATGTACAATGTAGTTTTATTCTCTGTACAATGTGGGTACTACTTCTTTCCTATCACACATCTATCGTCCTTATCTCTTCCCCCTTTATTGTGTTGCTATTATCTAGAAACACCTCAAAATATTTGGTGTTTATATGACTTCATTGTGTTGCAGGTGCCGTAAAACGCTTTCTAAAACAAAAGAGAATCTCCGTACAATGTGTTGCCCCTCCCTCCACAGATCCCTTTAGAAACGTCCCGTCCCCCTGCCAGAACAACCCGACGAACCAGGTGTATTTCCCTCACCCCACCGACAACTCGAAATTCCTGCAGTGTGACGTCTACGACCGTATGTACATCATACAGTGCCCGGTCGGCGAAGGTGAGTACAGCTTTTGGGTATAATAATAATAATAATAATAATAATAATAATAATAATAATAATAATAATAATAATAATAATAATAATAATGATAATGATAATAATAATAGTAATGAATGAAAAAAATAATTCGTCCATCAATGTCTGACAATGACCAATACATCCGCAAAGGAGAATATTTCTCCAGCAAAATAGAAGAATTTGAAGAATAATTAAAGATTAAGATGACTTGTGGCTTTCGCTGTGGCTTTCGCTGTGGCTGATGAGACCGGTTGTGGCAGTGAAAAGTTTTGCCCTTTTTTGAACTTTTAAAGGCTTTTCTTCCACTTGTGGTTGAGCGCAACGTGCGTGCTTCTCTCTTGGTTTCAACATTTCTTGTTCGTGAAGCCTCTTATGATTTGCTGCCCACTGTGACTGCTGCTCTCCAGCTGGGTCTGTCGGGAGCTAGGCTCTTTCACGTCGAAGTATTTATGTTGAACTCCTTCTGAGACATTTTCAGGGTGACCTTGTAGCACTTTTTTGGTGCCCCAACCTTGTGCTTCCCCGACAACGGTTAAGATTTGTGTGTAAAAGAGCTTTAAGATTGGTCAGTACGAAGCCTCTCTTTAAGAAATGAAACGCCCTTCATGGCACCGACATCGATTTTTTTTAAAGAGCGCACGCAAGATGTTGGTATTCAGGAGTGATGTATCTTGTGCAATCATTGGTTGACTCCAGTCCAGTAGTTTAAACTTCCTCTTCAAAACGTTCACTGTCACATACTTTGAGCGTTTATGCTTCACAATCTTTCCTTGTCTCTTTAAAATATTCTCACGATCCTGCGCCCATCCCCTGTTTCGTTTCTTCCAGCCCCACTGCTCTCCCATCTTGACAACCTTCCGTTTGGGTGGTTGGCAGGTGCTCTTGTGTGGTTTGCAACTTCTTTTCTACCAATCATTTATCGTCCTCGACGCTTCTCATTTTTTTTTTCTTTTTGCCTCTCTCTTGCAACACGTCTAATCTTCCCCACTATATGGCGACAATTGTGTTGCTAGTACCATAAAACTCTTACTAAAATAGAAAAAAAACAACTTTCATCTCCCAGTTTTCGACGCCACACTGACCGCTTGCCGACCAAGGACCGCGACGGTGACCACCGCCCCCTTCAGGCCACCCATCTACACCGCGGCTCCCATCACTCAGGTGAGCTCACTCGCTCAAGTGGGAAAGTTTGTGTGTGTGTATGTGTGTGTGTGTGTGTGTGTGTGTGTGTGTGTGTGTGTGTGTGTGTGTGTGTGTTTGTGTGTGTGTGTGTTTGTGTGTGTTGTGTGTGTATGTTTGTGTGTGTGTGTGTGTGCTTTGTGCTTGTGTGTGTGTGTGTGTGTGTGTGTGTGTGTGTGTGTGCTTGTATGTGTGTGTGTGAGTGTGTGTGCACGCGCGTGTGTGTGTGTATGTGTGTGAGTGCTTGAGTGTGTATGTGTGTGTGTGTGTGTGTGTGTGTGTGTGTGTGTGTGTGTGTGTGTGTGTGTGTGTGTGCGTTCATGTGTTTATGAGTGTGATGTGTGTATAAGTTTATTTGTGTATTTAACCATTTAGGATAGTTCAAGTGTATGTACGTAACCATATTGGGTAGTTCAAGTATTGGCAACCACGCTGAACTCGAAAAAGAACGTTCCACCAACGAAAGCGATTGCACGCCTGAGAGTCGTTAAGGCCCTGCTCACACTTGGAAATTATAATATTCTATTCGTCTCAATATTGCTAAGAATGGCATCACTTCACGGTGAAAAGAGACGAACGGGCAAAAATTGCCTTATTTGTACACTGGCAGTGGCACGACATGTGGAAATATTCCAAGTGTGTGCGGGGCCTAATTGTTTTAAAGGTTCAGGTTGACAATCTAGATCAGGTACTTACATTATTATAACAACCGCAGCTTTTTGTGTCTTTGCGGATAATCAGTCAAAACACACTTTTATCCCTGTGTGTCAGACTTGACTATAATGAATATGACCCTAGTTCAAATCCTTAATGGGTTTTATGCAAGGAGCTTTCCAGGCTCTCAATTATTGAACATCTAGCTCTCACTGGCAAAATTGAACACAAACGAGGCAGTGGCGCAACTTGGTGGCGAGCCTTAATCGATGGACGACGGAGAAAGACTAGAACAATGTAGCTTTTTTACTTTTTTTAGAGCAGCTGAGCAAATGAATCGTCGATGTTTGTCGCTGATCTGGCACTTGATGATGATGACTTATCGGTAACGGACGTTGAACTGGAAGTCCTGCTTCTTAGATGACCTAACAAGTTTGCAACAGGCATTTAACATCAAGCCCATACCATACTATAACCATACAAATCTCGAACTACAAAACGGTTTTCCTTGTTATACAAAGGTTAGAAGAGGCACGGGAAGAGGGCTAAAGTCATTCGGCGTCGAAATAGCTTACTAGGATATCCACCTTGACCCTCAACCGCTTGATTACCTCGAGAGATAAAGTTTTTGTTCCTTTAGTTCATCTCAAGTTTCAGGCTTGAAAAAGGGCAGCTGCCATAGAAAGATACAACAATAATGATAATAATAATAACAACAACAACAATAACAGCAGCAGCAACAACAACAGCAACAACAACAACAACAACAATAACAACAACAATGATTTTTAAAATAATAATAGTTATAATAATAATAATAAAACCCAATAATAATAATACTTGTACCATGGTCTCTCCCCAGGCTCCAGCCACCAACAACCCATGCACAGCCACAGCTATCTCCCGTGGTCAGGTCTACTTTGCCATTGCCACTGATAAGAACAAGTGAGTATCACTGTGTGTTTGTCTGTCTGTCAGTCTGTTTGCCTGTCTGTTTGTCAATCTGTTTGATGGTCTGTTTATTTGTTTGTTCATGAGAGAACTGCTCGTTTATGTGTTTTGTTGTTGTTGTGCCTCAGTCTTTTAGGTTATTGGTATACCTGGGACCCTATTTGTCTGTATATCAGTCCGTAGATAGATAGATAGATAGATAGATAGATAGATAGATAGATAGATAGATAGATAGATAGATAGATAGATAGATAGATAGATAGATAGATAGATAGATAGATAGATAGATAGATAGATCGATCGATCGATAGATAGATAGATAGATAGATAGATAGATAGAGTGTGTGTGTATGTGTGTGTGTGTGTGTTTTTTGTGTGTTTAAGTGGGGGTGGAGAGAGAGAGAGAGAGAGAGAGAGAGAGAGATAGAGAGAGAGAGACAGAGAGACAGAGAGAGAGAGGGAGAGAGAGAGAAAGGGGGGGGGGGAAGAAAGCGAGTGAGAGAATTTGTACATATGCGTAGGTATGTGTATGTGTATGTGTGTGTGTGTGTGTGTGTGTGTGTGTGTGTGTGTGTGTGTGTGTGTGTGTGTGTGTGTGTGTGTGTGTGTGTGTGTGTGTGTGTGTGTTCGTGTGCGTGTGTATGTTTCACGAGGAGCAAACTTTCTCTCCCTACCCTGAAGATGACCAAGTCTCACTTCTCAATACTTCTCAATTAATAGTAATATCTGGGACTGCCTTAGTTTTAATTAGGTTGTAACTGAGCAGTGTATTTTCCGTGTGCGTTAATTGCAGATAGTTTTGAAATTAATCCTTGTATTCTAAAAATGTGGGTAGTCAGAGGTTGTCGCTGGTAGGTTCCGCATCTTAAATTTCTCTCTACCTGTCTTTTCTATCTGTGTTATGATCCGTTCAAGGAATTTACTGACCATTATCGTACCTGTGTGCATCTTTTCCCCCTCAAAAATAAAATAAAACTTCACACAGCAAAAAAAACAAAACCTTCTATTAAATGAAGATGCAACTCGTGTTTTTTTAAAAAGGAGTAATTGTCTTATTTTCATTTTATTAGTGTGTTATTTCCAAAGATATTTAGAGAGCTCTAACTCTGTCTCAATTTTAAAGTGAACGATAGTCGTCTAGCTTTCCAAGTGATACATTTTTAGTTTTCAAAGATGTACTTGTTCCATAATATCCTAGGTTCATCGAGTGTGACTTGGCTGGCAACCCCAACGTTCTGGCCTGCCCAACCGGCCTGTTCTGGGAGCAGGGTCTTCTTTCTTGCGTCTACCCTCTCAATGCCGGTAAGTTAAAAAAGAAGAAGAAGAAGAAGAAGAAGAAGAAGAAGAAGAAGAAGAAGAAGAAGAAAAAGAAGAAGAAAAAGAAAAAGAAGAAGAAGAAGAAGAGAAGGAGGAGGAGGCGGAGGAGGAGGAGGAGGAGGAGGAGGAGGACGATGACGACGACGACGACGACGATGAAGAGGACGAGGAGGAGGACGAGGAGGAGGACGAGGAGGAGGAGCAGAAGAAGAAGAAAAAGGAGGAGGAGGGGGAAGAAGATTGTGAAGAGGAGGAGGAGGTGGAGGAGGAGGAGGAGGATGCATATATATAACTTCGTATAATTCGACTGACTTGAACACTTTTGTTACATGTCTTACTACAATGTATCTCAATACATTGCCCACATTTACTTTCATATCCCCTCCCCTACGACATTTTGTTATCTCCCTGAACCATCAGGTACACAAGACAGAGAGCAATCAACGTCAGTCTTGTATTCAGTCTAGTTTTCGTAAATGTTTTACGGCACTTGCAATACGATAAGGTCATATAAGTGTAAAGATTAGAGGTGTTACAAGAGAGTAACAAACACAAAAAAGAAGTAGCCTAGGGGAGATTAGGACGATGGACGTTTGATAGGAAAGAAGGAGCAAACCACACCAGCACGTGTCCAGCTTCGACCGCAGTATCTATCAGGAGACGTCTCCGTCGGAGATAGACCAGCCAAAATGTTTTGTGCCTCTAGACAAAGTAAAAAAATCTGGGAGGTTACAGCCCCCCCCCCCCCCTGTTTTATCCCGTAATTTGATATTTTGCAGTTAGGTTTGGAATGTTCTTGGAAATATTTGATTTGCGACAGTTTTAGAGGTTATAAATGTGATCTGCAGCAAATAATACGCAGGTTGACCCCCAAAGCAGTGCAGCTGTGTGCGGGAGTGCGTCTCCGACTAGTTCCAGGGTGCTCGCAGGAGACGTCTCCGAATAATTATCTTCTGGCCAGCTTCGAAGCATTCAGTTAGGCCCTGCGTGATAGCCTCATCTCTGATGGCACCCTACTAGTTTGTGTACCTCTTCTTATTATTCTGTTTGGTCTCCAGTATCATATCTGACAGGGGAAAAATGTCCCCTGCTATTAAACGTGGGTGGTTGGCAGGTGCTCTGGTGTGGTTTGCTCATTTTACTGACAATGGAGCGTCTATTAATTTTATATGTACGGTGCAGTTATAATTCTTCGTTCAATTCAATGTGGGTGCTCCTTCTTTCCTATCAAACATCTATCCTCCTTTTTTGTATGTGTTATTCTCTTGTGACGCCTCTAACCTTCGGCACTCAAATAGCCTAATTGTGTTGCAAGTGCCGTAAAACGTAAAACTCTTTTACAAAAACTGTAAACATTACTTTTTTGTGCATCCCAGGTGGTGCCGCCCCACTGAACCCAGTGAGCACTCTGACCGGCTCAGTGACCAATCCTTGCAACGCTCAGGCCATCAATAGGTGAGTGTACGAGAGAGAGAGAGAGAGAGAGAGAGAGAGAGAGAGAGAGAGA